CCGCCACCGCCACTACCATTGATAACAACAAGACATGCAACTGCCGACAAAAGAACACATGCCCGCTCGACGGAAACTGCCTGCAACCATCAGTAATCTACCAAGCCTCCGTTACACGCAAAGACAACAACACGACAGAAACGTACATCGGACTCACAGAGAATGACTTCAAAACAAGATACAGAAACCACACCGCATCATTCCGCCACGCTAAACACAGAAACTCTACCGAACTCAGCAAGCACATCTGGACCCTCAAAGACAACAACATCGATCACTTTATTTCCTGGCGCATTCTCTCATCGCACTCACCGTATAACAGCTCAACTAAAAGATGTAACCTCTGCCACAAAGAAAAATTCCTAATCATCTGCCGGCCCGAACTATCAACACTAAACAAACGTAATGAACTCGTGTCTTCATGCCGCCACAGAAGCAAAGCCCTCCTACGCAACAACTAAACTGTCAATTTCGCGCTGCATAAATTAGACTAGTTAGATCATGCAAATTATATTGTATATAAGCAATGGTAAAGTTTATTCTCATTAAATCCCCTGATGAGTGGGCGACCACGAAACAGGCTTGTAGGGATGAACTTGTAGTTTACTTGTCTTTTTCCTCCCACAATATATACTTCGCTCTACTTCTATGTATTGAGCACTGTTCTACGAAAATCAAGTCACACTTTAGTTTTCTATTTATATATTTTTAAAATTTTTAGAACCTTCTTAGTACATGTTATGAGTCTTGGGATCGTGTTTTAGTCATTGTTATTCTTAGTTGTGATTAGTAACTCTTGTATATTGTCTTTGAAAAGCCTCCTTCGGGGAAAGCCAATAAAGTATGTATGTATGTATGTATGTAGTGAACAACTAAGCGCGAGGCGTAAATCGTGATACCCAAGCGACGGAGTTTGGCTGACCCAGTTGAGAAGAAGCTCTAATGGTAGTTATACAGGCTTCCCTACTACCAAACCCTCGCCTGATTTTAGCAATAAGAGCTGGTGCTTTATAATTCAATGACAATGCATTAAGTAACGAAAGCAAGCGGAAAAATAAGAATGAGTTTATAGCAAAAGGACCTTTCCTTTGGAACTTTTGGACCTTTCCGGTTTTCCGATAGAGGTTTCGTTTCTTTTTGTTTATTCTTCTTTTTGGTGGAACGCAGTTCCCATTTGACACTCGTTTATGAGCATAGGAGAACTAACAATTGTGATAAAACTAGTTTGGACTATGGCAGACTCATGGTGTTAAGCAGATCGACCATCTTCCACCATTTTGGAATTTAAGAGGTGAGTGTATTATTATATCGTAATTTTGTATCGTTAGGTTGTTATCGTTAGCTTCAATTCATGATCTCCAGTGAATTTAATAGGGGGGGTCAGTAAGTGGGGTCAGTAGGGGGTCAGTAGGGGGCTATTTGACCCGGGGTCAGTGTTTGTCTTAGCCCGAAATAGAGCCCCTATCTTCGTTAGAGTGGGATTTAGTTGCGTCTTCTCCGATGAGCAAGTAATATTATTGAGAACTTACCGGAAACTAAAACGAGACTGATCTAGTTGATCTTATCAGATCGGTTGAGCATGTGGACTTGTTTAGGGTTCAAATTTGCGAATCGCTGGCAGGCTTGTTTTTGAATCTTTGCGACTTGCACAAGGTAGGATTTGTTATCCATCTCTTCGTCGTCGTCGCCATGAAGAGAGTTGTTCATCTTTTCCTTGCCCTGCAAGATATCGTATCGATGGAGAATAGATTTGAGTTCAGAGTTTAATGTGGCACTGGAATCGAAATAATTTTTGAGGTCACCACATAGGAGAAAATAGCTCAGTTGCTTTAAGTTAGTGTACCAACATATTCAGAGAATGCATCGAAAATTAGAAATCAGTGATAATCTCCAACATTATTCAACAAATGCATTATGACATCTCTGATGAGCATTTAGATAATAGATTAAAGTGGAGGATTTTTTACCCCAAATATATTATTTCCTTAAGAAATGTGACTGTAGTGTATTGTACCAGAAGTGTGAAAAAGTTGTGTTTGTAGGCATTCCGTGATGCCTAGCGAAAGTTGTTGTTGTGGTAATCGTTGGCTGCCATGTGGATAGTGTGTGGATTAAAGTATTGAAATCAAAGTACATCGAAGGTTTTTATTGCCGTATATCCAAATATCACATCTGGCGACGAGGATGGGATGGTGAGGAGTGTCGTTGTGCTAGTTTCTTTTACCATTTTGTGTTTGGAGGGGAAATACTTCTTTACAATGCCTGGCGGAGAATCAAGTGAGGGACATGGCAGTTCGGCGAGAACAAGTAGTGGGGTGTCGACCTGAGTGGCTGTGGAAGTAGGCAGTTTACAGCCTTTTCAAGTTAAAGGAGATCCGCATTCGGTTTCACAGCGATGGAGAAAATGGAAAAGAGCGTTTCAGTTATACGTGTTTGGAAAAGGGATCACGAATGACTCGCAGAAACGTGGCCTGCTACTTCACACAGCTGGACTCGATTTACAGGAAGTTTATTTCACACTGGTGCCTGATGGTGCCGAGAAGAACTACGCCGAAACTTTCAAGGTACTCGATGACTATTTTATTCATAAAGCTAATGTACCGTTTGAGAGACATTTGTTTCGGAAAATTAGTCAGAGTAATGAAGAAACCGTCGATCAATTTGATTGTCGGCTCAGACTACGAGCCGCTTCGTGTGGGTTTGGAGAGCGGGAAGATGAGTAAATCAGAGGTCAATTGATTGACAAATGTTACTCGGCAAAACTGCGTCGGAAATTTTTAGAAAAGGAAGGCAGTGTTACTTTGAATGATCTACTAGTTACAGCTCGGGCACAGGAAGCAGTTAATTCGCAGATGGAAGCAATGGGGGCTAACAGTGGTTCAGGACAAGTGAACACTGTTGTTGACAAGGGCAAGGGGAGGCCACATAAGTTCAGAGCAGGTTAACAGCGTGGTGAATTTAAGAGGGAGCACTAGTAGCGAGAAGAGGGACTGTTTCAATTGTGATCGAGAGGATCACTTAGCAAGGGATTGGAGATGTCCTGCTCGAGGTAGAAAATGTCTTCAGTGTAGAGAAATTGGACATTTCAACGTCAAGTGTTGTAAGAAGCTCGATAAGGACTCCTATCTGGGGCAAAGACAAGGTGACGGTCGGCGTGATTGGAGAAATACATCTAGTGTGAATGAAAGAGGCAGAAAGACAAACAAAAATTATGTTGATAGTAGCCCTAAATCAGGACAAGACTCAACACCTAACTATGTGTTTTACGGTGGGGGATGGGCTCGACCAAAAGAGTGGAATAGAAACTGTTGTAGTTGGTGGTGCTCATTTGCCAAATGTCCTTGTTGACTCAGGAGCAACATGCAACCTTTTAGACCAAGGAACTTGGGAGTGCCTTAGGTCACAGAAAATCCAGTGTCAGACCCGAAAGGAGGCCAAAGCCTTATTTCCTTATGGAAGTACATAGCCATTGCCAACACTCGGAACATTTACAGCAGACATAATGTCTATTGTCACTGGTGTGACCTGCAAAGCTGACTTTGTAGTCATAAACGGAGATGGCAGAAGTCTCCTCTACAGAGAAACAGCCGTGAAATTTAGTTTGCTACGACTTGGGCCGAGACATGCCGTTAATGCTGTCAATACAGAAGCTGATATCAAAGAAAAGTACAAAGAACTTTTCAGCGGTGTTGGGCTTCTTAGGGATTACGAGTTGAAGTTAAATATCGATGATTCGGTGAAGCCGGTGGCGCAGCCAGTCCGCAGGATTCCATTCGGTGTACGAGAGAAAGTCGAGAGAAAGCTAGATGAATTGTTGGAGAGTGGAATTATAGAGGAGGTTCCTGATGGACCAACAGGGTGGGTCTCACCACTTGTGGTTATACCCAAGGCAGATGGAGATATCAGGATTTGTGTAGACATGAGGTGTGCCAATCAGGCAATAGTGAGGGAACGTCAGCCTATCCCTACAATAGAGGAGGTGCTTCTAGATCTTAATGGTAGCACAGTATTCAGTCGTGTAGATCTGAAGTGGGGATTTCATCAGGTACTTCTAGCTGAGGAGAGTAGACATGTGACAACGTTCTTGACTCACCGTGGTCTCTATAGATATACCCGACTCATGTTTGGTGTCACCTCAGCACCTGAAAAGTACCAACAAATCATTCGGGACGTACTGCGAGGCTGGGATGGCATGGCTAATATAGCAGATGACCTAATAACTCACGGACGAGGGGAGGAGCAGCATGATAAGAGGCTCTTGGCTGTGCTCGATCGATTGAGGGAAACAGGTCTGACACTGAAAAAAGACAAATGTGAATTCCGATTACCCAGGTTGACATGTTTTGGTCACGAAGTAACACAGACTGGTATAGAACCCAGTGAAGAGAAAGTCGCAGCAATCAGACAGGCAGGTCCTCCACAGAATGTTAGTGAAGCCAGATCTTTCCTCGGTCTTTCCCAGTTTGTGTCTAAGTTTGTCCCAGATCTGTCATCCATTGCAGAACCCATTCAGAGGTTAACCCACAAGAATGCCTGAGTTCAAATGGGGCAAAGAACAACAGTTGGCATTCGAGAAGTTAAAAGAGCTGATCACGCACGCAGATGTCCTAGCCTACTTCAATGTAAACAGCAGAACAAGAATTGTGACAGATGTGTCACCAATGGGGCTTGGAGCGGTTTTAACCCAGCTACATGGAAGTGAGTGGCGTGTGATTGGGTATGCTTCGCGACGCCTATCTGACGTGGAGCGGCGATACAGCCAAACAGAGAAAGAGGCCCTAGACCTGGTATGGGCCTCCGAACGCTTTAACATGTATGTTTTCGGCAGGGAGTTTGAGCTTGAAACGGATCATAAGCCTCTGGAGTACATCTATTCACAGAAATCGAAGCCTTCTGCCGGTGTGGAAAGGTGGGTCCTTCGCCTACAGACCTATCACTTTAGTGTCGTTTACAGACCAGACAAGACCAATATCGCAGATGCCTTGTCTAGGCTAAATTGTGGGTTCCAAAGTGACGACGGAGAAGATTATGACTTTGTGCATACTGCGGTTGAGAGAAGTGTTCCTTGTGCTTTTACACCCGCTGAAATAGAAAAAGCCTCAGCTGAGGATATGGAGCTGAACCTCATCAAAGAATGTGTCCAAACAGGAGATTGCAGTCAGTGCAATGTACCTGCACACCTGCATGTGAAGAATGAATTGTGTACGTATAGTGGGCTGCATTTGCGGGGTTCCAGGCTAGTGATTCCCCGAGAATTGCGACCGCGTGTTTTGGAGTTGGCCCACGAGGGACATCAGGGTATTGTTAAAACAAAATGTAGACTGCGCAGTAAAGTATGGTGGCCCAAGATGGATGCTGATGCAGAGAAGCTGTGCAGAAGTTGCCATGGTTGTCAAGTGGTCAGTGAATATGCTCCCCCAAAACCTATGGCTCGAGCTTTTCCTCCCAGTGGCCCTTGGGAAGATTGTGCAGCTGACATTCTGGGTCCCTTACCTTCAGAAGAAAGTGTACTGGTGGTGGTATACTATTTTAGTAGATATTTTGAAGTGGTTATTTTGATGTCAACTTCTAGCACAAGACTCATTGAAGCTCTAAAACCAATATTATCCCGGTTTGGAGTGCCGCATACACTCAAGACTGACAATGGGCCTCAACTGGTATCTGAAGAGTTTGAAGCCTTCCTTGTAGAAAATGGGATAGAACACCACACAACAACTCCCCTGTGGCCGCAGGCCAATGGAGAAGTAGAGCGTCAGAATCGCATATTGATGAAGTCAGTCTAGATAGCTCACATTGAGGGGAAAGACTGGCGGCAAGAGTTACAGAAATTCCTAACCGCATATAGGTCAAATCCTCAGACGACAACTGGGGCAACAACCTTCTACCTGATGTTTGAAAGGGAAATGCGGCCAAAGTTGCCAGACATGCGAAGGGAGGCACCTATCACTAATGAGGAAGTCCGCGATCGAGACTGGTCAAGGAAGTTATCACAGAAAGAGTATGTTGATGCAAAGAGAATTGCTGCTGCAAGTGAAGTGGAGGTTGGAGATAAAGTACTCCTGAAGAGCTCGAAGACTAACAAACTGTCTCCAAACTATGACCCAAATCCTTGCGAAGTAATAGAAGGGAAGGGAGGAGGGGGTAAGAATTAGAAGCACAGCTGGTGCCGGAATAAAAAGAAATGTCTCATTTGTGAAAAAGTATCAAGAGAAACCCTTGGAGGCGAAAGTCGATATTACGCCCGTCCATCGAGAGCAAGAAGGAACAAACCAAACAGAAGTAGCAAAAGGGGAGGATGAACTCCCAAGGCCAGGGCCAACTGGATCATCGATGTCTGTTCAGCAGGCCACTGCCACTATCCGAAGTCCACTTAACCAGATAGTTTGTCCTAGGCCAGCTCGGAATGTCAGACCGCCTAAACGATTTGACGACTACGAACTTTCTAAGGGATAATTGAATGTTATTTGTTGTAGGCTCATTGATATTATGTTAGGAATCCGACTGGACTTTGTTTATGAACAGTAGGCCCGGGCCTGCATTTATATGCAAGACATTGTAAGAGTTGTGTTATTTATGTTTGGGTTTTCGCTCTAAATTAAGGAAAAACAGGGAGGGATGTAGTGTATTGTACCGGAAGTGCGAAAAGGTTGTGTTTGTAGGCATCCCGTGATGCCTAGGGAAAGTTGTTGTTGTGATACTCGTTGGCTGCCATGTGAGTAGTGTGTTGATTAAAATATTCAAATCAAAGGACATCGAGGGTTTTTATCGCTGTATATCCGAATATCACAGCAA